TAATCAATTGTATAAAAAATGATATTATCTTTAATAAAATAAATCCAAAAGCGACGATAATAGCTTGATTTGATAAAAAAGACCAAGCGGTAAGTGATCGAGCACACGATACACACTCTTGACAACCGATCATGAACCACAACTCTTTAACGAGCTTATGGGATAACCGTAGTTCTTCAGAATGATCGTTTAGCGCATCGTCTTCCATTACGCAAGTCACGACAGGTGCCCCTGTAGGAATAACCGTAGTTTTTGACCAACCCTGCCTGTGGCCTAACATATGGGGTCAAGTAATCCTTTCGCTGGAATATTCAATAACAAAATGAGTATTAGCACAAGTTAAGGATTAGTATAATTAGAGCTCTGCTTTAAGATACTTACAAGGCATCAAAAGGAAAACTTGCATTCTGGGTACGTGCTCACAGTATAACTCTTGACAACCAAGTGTGAGCCACAACTCGAGAGCTTATGGGATAACCGTAGTTCCTCAGAACACTCAGTAGTCATACTGTCTTCCGTGAGAGAATCTGGTCACAAACGTACCTTCTGATGAAGAATAACCGTAGTTTTTGCCCGTCTTATGCCAGACTACATCTTACAGGACACGTTCTATTTTACAGGGATAAAAGAAAAAAATTTAGCACAGTTAGCGAAAGAAACAAAGTTATCTTATACTATACTAGTGCAAGCAACGGTTGATAGGCAAAATAAGTATCAAATGTGTGACAGAAAAAACACGTATAAATTATTACCAACTAAACGTGACATGTACACAGTGATCTTTTTTATTTGACAAGAAAACATGGGTGCTCAGCAGGGTTGTGCATAAAAAAACGCGAAACACCCCTGATGAACAAAAAATTTTTCTCTTAATGTCAGACTCAAGGGCAATCTTGATTTCCCAGTACATTGATTTTTTTATTAAGAGCGAAAGACCTACACCGATCACATTTTTTGAAAAGTTCGACTTCTCCTCGAAGAAGAAAGGTGTCTCAAATTGGTACTCCGCTCTCAGTGAGAGCCTCAAAATTTATAAGAATGATCCCAAACTTACTGAAATTAAGCAAAATTACGAAAAAGGTTATTATAAGCAAAGCATCAATGATTATTTTCGACAATCGGAACGTGCTCGTACTCTTGAGGAAGAGAAGGTTTGTTAGACTTGTTTGCTTATGGTGGCTGGTCTATTAAGTTTATTAAGTTTATTAAATCCAAGCCATTCTTCCAGACCTCTATTGATAAGACCTTAACCAATAAAACTGGCAATGCGATTCGAAAATGTATACATGATCTCCTTCCAGAAGAAACTGGTGATCAAAAATTCTCGAAGAAACCTTGTCTAAGGGAGTCGAATCAGAACATAAATCAAGAAAATAATGATTTTTGCCTGGCTTCATCCGATCCTGATTTGGAATATTTCAACGCTCAGGAGTTATTAGATAAAAAAGGTATTGATTTATCAAATGCAGGCAAAGCCAGGCCATTATGTACTAACCATAATTTGTTTAGAACGACACAAATTGTGCTATTCGTGGGAGAACGTCATTAATCAGATTGATTTTAGGGCTGTCTCTAAAGACGATGTAAATATATACCAATATGTTCATTACATTCCATTTGCTAGAAATAACCATGCGTGAATATTACTTTTCACTGGGTCTATGAGAGTTATAATCTCTCTTCAGAATTCCGAAATTTTCAGAAGTCGACAATTGAACAAGTCAAAAAAAATCCGATCTTATGCTATAAAAAAGATATCGAAAAAATTCTGTAAGTATTTTTGTAAACCGAATCAGAGTTTTTTTATGATTATGATTCATTATTCTTACGTTAAAATAGATCTCTTTCAAACATAATACTCATCGAGAATATAAAGCCATCATTTCTTAACTTCTCACAAACTATTTGGGATCAAATCTGTCGAAGGAAATCACCTTCAAGTTTACCATCAGTAGCAAATAACTTGGCTCTTGAATATTCTTCTGTGAGTTTACTTTCCCCACTCTCGGACTTGGAGTTAAAGTTATGGTATTAAACATTTTTCACTTTTAACTCTAGATGATAAATTCTTTTACACCATTAAATGATATTCAAGATGCATGGTGTAATAACTTTTCCAAGATTACGGGATTGACGGATCGAGATAAAGACAAATTTTGTCAAACTCAAATTATTTTCCGAAATTTGTAAGTATACCTATTGTAAATCATAATTAATGTAACACTTAATGAAATAACAACTTTCTCTTATAGCTTATTTCTAAGTTCAAAAAATGTGAATACCAATAACGAGGACACCTTTGTACATGAAACGTTGCATGACCTACTTAAAGAGATTTTCCGTGATTCAACTTTCGAGTTAATTTGGTAAGAATTTGTATTTGTGATTTTGCCGATTTAAATCTTATAATTAATGCATAAGTTAAAAAAGGGCGAACAGCGAAAGTCTTGTTTCCAAAAATCGACGCTCCAACAGTTCGGACAAGGAAAATTACAGAGGTGAAAAGCCTGACTTTAAAGTTGTAACCAATACAAAAGAAGAAATTCTTTTTGGCGAGGTTAAGACAAAAGATTCGCGTTCTTTATTGATTAATAAAGATCTCATAAAATTGTCCAATTTCCAATCGGGTGCCTTAGACGAGTTAATTAAAAAATATGCCAACAAGATTGGTTTAGCTTCATTTGGTATATGGGTCAGTGGTAAGTTGTCAAATTGATAATGCATATACTAATATATGATGGCATTTGTTAATACATACTTGATTAAATTTATAGGTCCACGTATTCGGATCTACGAAATGGATCTAAACTACGATGGGATGTATAGAATGTTTTTGATGGCGAATGTTGTGACCCCAATGGAACGGGCACAATTTTTAAGTCTGATACCAGTATTAGAAGCATTGTATAATATTAAAGTAAGCGATAGGTAGTAGTTTTTGGTTATTAGTTTTAGCCATCAAACCATTTAACACTTTATAATTTTTGAAGGATCGTATTTCTGAAGTATTAGAGGTAATCGTTTCCGACACCCCAGCTAGTTCACCACGTTCTACTTACGTCAGAATGCCCACCCCTCCACCAAAATTAGTAAAGATTTCTATCGTTGGTCTATCGTCAAATTAACTTTCATCCTATTTACACATGGTGATAAGAAAAGTTATATGTAGATGATTTATCAATATGTATATCGAGTTTTGCCTGAAATGGAATTGAGTGTATAATAAAGCATGTTTCAAAATTTGATGAGATCGGATACTTGTATGAGATCAAAACTGTTTAAATGATCTGATTCGAGGCAAAGTATAAATTTTATGTCGTGATATTTACTAAAGATTGATATGCAAAATTCTCATGTCATAATAAAATCGATGCCAATATTTTTATTCGTAATTTTGAAATTTTTGACGACGGCCCGTCATTGAAATTTTCATTGCTTTGGTTATACATTTTAAATAAATAATAAGATATATACAATCTATTACTAAAACATGCAATCTGAGATTGATTCATTAAGACAATGAATTTCTGAGCTTGAAGCCGAAAGGCTGAGCTTGAAGCCAAGAATGCTGAGCTTTTAAAACAGGTTATGGAAGAGAATGCCAGGCGAGAAGCTGAGAATGTTGAGCTCAAAGCCAGAATCGCCAAATTGGAACAGAATACAGAAGAAAATACTGAGCTTAAAGATAGAATCACGAAATTGGAACGGAAACAGATGCAGGTTATTACTAATTATCAGGAGCCATCTCCTATAAAAGATATTTCACCACTTATCAAGAGCCATTCTGATGAGGAGAAAGGTATTACTTCCAATCCCTTGCCTGAAATAGAACATATCTCATCCCAGGCCCAAAGGGGCAAATCTTTAGATTCATCTGAATCTTCAATGGAACCTGAAACATCTACAACCTCTTTACCATAAGAAATTATTAATGATGATTCAGCTGAGATTCTAGATTTTGTAGAAACAATACATAAGGAAAGGATTAATAGTGAGATAAGAGAGAGGAACTGGGAAAAAAAACTTCAAGAATCACATAATAACTTAACATCACCAATACAATCTGAAACATCAACCATATCAACACCTGAATCTCTAGACTTGAAACCTGTGAAAGAGCTTTGGGATCAGAATCAAAATAAAAACCAGAACAAATTACACAAGAAAAAGGGAACTGAGAATATCACTCAAGTGATAGCTGATGGTATTCAAGATGATAATCTTTTAGATTCAAATTATGTGACAGAAATTTCAGCGACAGCTCTTTACCAAAATTCTTCTGTCTTATTACTTGATTTAGCACAATTATTTGATAAGGCAACTGATGCTGAATATAGCACCATAAAAGCTAACCAAGAAGAAACTTTATGCTGAACTAATTATGGAAAAGAATTTATAATTCAGTATAATGATCTTGTGAAAAATAGTAATGGAAAAATTGGCAAGAAAAAGGCAAAGGGTATAATATATGATAAAATATTGGAACACCTTAATATCATCCGTGAAAGAAGGTCCAAGGAAATAGGATTACAGCTCCCAGAAATTTTGCGTAAAACTTTATGCAAAAAGTCCCAAAAGGCATAAGAACTTATAAATTATTTGACAAAATAGGTATAGATAAAATTAAGTATTTTAAAGCATATAGTGCAAATTCTATTTCAGAATTGACCAACGAACAAATTCAAAAGATAATTGATAGTATTTTAATCATGAGTCTAATATAGGAAATCACATGACTGAAATTTCAATAACGGCCCGTCACCAAAATCATACAACCAAAATTGTGAGTACTTTACCAGAAACTAAGGTAAGTACATTTTCTGAGAAGTTATCACTGGAAAAATTATCAGAAATGATTTTAGAGGAATCAACCAAGGCAAGCGCATCATCCAATCCAACCTATGACCATGCTTACTTTCATAATAAGACACTGTTGCAATATTCTGATCTATATAAAGCATTTATTACTGAAAAATTTGATTACTATGATATTATTGAGAGGTTATTATGTCCAGTATGTAAATTATATCATGAAGATGGGAAAAGTGTAAAAGGTAGATACGAAGCTAGATTCTATTTTATTATATGTGGAAAGAGGTTGTATATCAGAATCCCGACACACAAAATCCCGACACACAAAATCCCAGCAACAAAATCCCAATACACAAAATCCCAACAAATTAAATTCCTAATTTTAATATTTTTAGGATTTTAATTTGTGGGATTTTGTGTATCGGGATTTTGTTGCCGGGATTTTGTGTGTCAGGATTTTGTGTATCGGGATTCTGATATACAACCGTGGAAAGTGTAAAATTAAGATAACAGCATGAATTATAAAATTATCCAGGTATAGCCACTATGTGACAAGTATTCTTGTTTCAAATATTTGTAAATTAGTTAGACACGAAGAGTCATCGCTTTGCAATACTATATTTGTTTTTTTTTATAATTGTTATAAACAGTGTCAGTACAACTTATGCTTAATTTGAATTTGTGAATATATAAAACAATAACATGGATAAAGCCTATTTCAGAGAAATAACACTTCATGTCTTAACCCCTGAATATTTGAACTAGCATGCTAAATTGGTTGATTTACTGAGTTATTTGTCAGATAAAATTCATTTGAGCTTATATAGAGTATATATAGAAGAAACTGGACTCGATCCTTGGATAAAGTCTGAAACTTCTAAATTCCCACAAATCAAAAAGGATGCCAAAAAAAAAGACGTTATTTGTATTACAGATAAATGTTTAGCCTACACTATCCAAACTTCAATCACCAATTTCTGTTCTATCTAAAGACTTGAAAGAAAAGCAACAACACGTTATTGAAATGGTATTAGAACGATTTCCTTATTTAACTTTGAAATATAGTTTTAAATATAGTAACTATTTTGATTTTAATAGATCTGTACTCTGTCTTATATGCAATAAAGACCATAAAAAAGAAAATATAAGAAATAATATAGAGGGTTTATGGGAGAGTGGCGATTATATCAATATAAAAACTTATTATCTCTATTGTTATATAAATAAATATCAGAATTTAATCCAAATAGTGACTATAAAAGCATAAGTTAATAAGAAAGCTCTATTATTTTCACCAATTAATAATGCAAATTGCATTGCAAAAATCACATAAAAATAAAAAATTCGGTGTCCAGAGAACCCCCTTCTTTATTTAATAAAAATTGTTGCCGAAATAACAATAATACAAATAAAAAAAATATCGCTTTATATTGTGAGAATACAAATAAAAAAAAATAACTCATTGGTTCTCACTATTACGGATTTACAATAAAGACTGTCCTTTTAAATTCTTCAGGTTCAAAATTTTCAGCAAACCTCTCTTCAGGTTGTATTTATCAAATATTAGCAATACGATTGACAGTAATATTTAAGTCCTTCTCAATTTTGCTTTTAACCTTTTCAAACAAGTCCCTCCACTTAATTTCTACCGTGTTTGTAGCAATTAGATCAAAACTAACTTTAAACTTTGGTTTAAAATTATCAGGAACTTCAGTGGCCATTTTTTTATTTCCTAAATATAAAAATTTATAATGAGTAGTTTTGCTTTCATAGTCATCCTTGTAAACAATTATAGATCGAAACCCTCTGAATAAAACAAATACATACATTAAAAATAAATTGCGGGTGTGTAAGACTTTTACAATAAAAAAAATATAAGCAAAAAATAATGTTATTGCTAACTTATCTTATAGGTAGAAACCTGCTTATTTTATACTATTCATTCGCTAGTTCTAAAAAGCCTGCTAGAAAAAAAATTACATTATTAATTGTGTTACTCTAGTACTACCAGATCACACTTAACAAAGCAATTCTGCTTAGTTATAAGTTCCAGATACTAAATCTATTTTGTTATTTTTTCTGGTAAAATTAACCCCCTTAGATTCAACGATCTCTCCTGCAAAGTAAAAAAGTCAATGATCTCGATGATCTGGGAATGCCAAGTTCCTGTGATATATGAATTTTGATAAAACTACTGATAAAGAATGTTATACTCATTGCCTTTATAGCCTTTTTAAACATGAAGTGTTCTGCTTTACAGAGTCCTATTCTTATCGTAAAATGTATATTGTATAATAAGAAAATAATCTAGATATAAATTCATAATATTCATTATTAATAAAAAATTGACTGTGAGAAATGATTCTGCAAGAGAGTCAGATACTGATTTCGTAACCTGTATTACCATTATGAACTTTATTTTTTTGTGCGATCTAATCCATTATCACTTGCTATCTTAGCAAATTATCAGCTAATTATTTTTTACTATCAGAGGTATATAACTGATTATAGTAATTGATTGATATATATCATTTTTTTCATATAATATATATAATATAGCATATATGTTTGTTTACTGTCCCACAACCCCATTTATGCATTATCATTATTATTTATACAAACTTATCAAAAATCGAGAAATAGCCCCAAACAGAATAATAATAATATATATATACGTATTTTAAATTCAAAGATCTGGATTATTTTAGAGCAATTTTGTGTCGAATTATTATAGTGCCAAATACAATTAATTATTAGATAACCCTGATGATTATTATAATCATATATATATAAAATAGATCTAATTTTCAATTTTTAATTAAAATCCATAAGCTAATATTCTACCTTTAATATTATAGTCTTTTTAGGTGTAGTCATTGCCTTTAATAGCAGACCCAGGATCTCAGAGATGATAAATGACCTGGTCATTTGCTCAAAATTTAAATGACCCAGTCATTTGGTTAAATGACCCTGGTCATTTGGTCATTAG